TAATTTTGAGATGTGCTTTTCAATTGCAATGTAACAAGTGTGCAATAACAAGTAATTATCGACTCTTCATTCGTGTCATACGTTCACGAATACAATGAATTTCTTTTATTTGAGCACTTTGTCCGTCATTTTGTTGACAAGCAATTTGCTGACTCATCACAACTGTACTCTGTACTGTTTGTTAGTGTTTCAGTACACAACAACCACTTTTTAAGGCATAAAACATTTTGGATCAGTTCGCTCAACTCGTTCAATAAGTCCAGTCAAGAAACCGCCCCAACATTCCGCAATACGTAATTCAGCGTTTGTAATGCAACCGGCATCCACGTCGATCGCAAACAATCAGTTCAATGAGTACTCGTCCTTTAGAGGATCAACGTTCGGTAAATCACTTAACGACGGCGGCGGCAATCACTTGAATTCGAACGATTCGGCAGCACCGTTCCCGAAGAGTATACGCTTTCATCGTAACACCGCGGATACGTTGGATGCAGTCTCTCCGTTAGGTTGGTGGTTGTTTGGGATTACGAGTAGGGAGATGAGCAGTTGAGTGATGCCTGAAGGGAGTTATTATTGGACTGAGAAAATGCCCTAGCGATCGCTATTAAACGTGATCACAGTGAATGAACGCTGGTGATGTTATGATTGATGATAATTGTAATACATTAAGCGATATATTTTCAGTGACGAATGTACAACGGACCAATTCATCTTCATTGATCGATCTGTCACCTCATAAAGAACAGTTGATGGCTGCAAATTCATTGAAAATTGTATGTCCGTTTATTTATGAAAATTGTATTGGTTTATTCAGTCATTCAGTATGTGTTCATTGCTGATGGAGCATTCGTCATTATTTATACAATTTATTTGTAGACCACATCATCGTCTAGCAACGAGACTACGTCCACTTCACATTCGATGCTTTCCGGACGAGAATCGCCAGCTTCAGGAGGTAGGTAGTTGGTTGTTGGCGATCAATTCAGTGATTGTACAGTGTTCTATCACCTTGACAGTATTGTGAACATATCGATAATCGTACGGTTAATGCGATTACTCACAGTGGTAACGAAACGCATGAATGTCATCGCTGTAATAGTGAATGTATACTGCATGTCATCACGCATGTCATCATGTTATCCTTGCGCTTATTTTCATTGAGAAGACCATCCGTTCGATTTTCGGATTTGTTTATATAGCTGATTGATGGTTCATTGTTGCGGAGAGATTGAATCAGGAATGCATGTTTGATCAGGATGATATCTTTGTAGGTGCTTTTTTGTGGCATACTTTGAGTGGGTAATTTGTTTTTGTGTAGTGATAGAATGAAGGTGATGTTTGTATCAATATTTATAATCGATAACAGTTAATCAAATTTCAATCAGTCGATTGTGGTGTAATATATACTATAAGTAAATTGAGAAGAGTGAAAATATGTTATTGTAGAAGCACAACGTTAGCATCGTCAGTGATCATAATGACCATATTAATAATAAAGATATAAACGAGTTTTCTGATCTTGACGTAGTTTCAGTCAAAAATGAGCGCAGATCAGCGGTTAATGAGGACGACAGGCGACGTAAATTAGAACTGCAAAGAGAGCTATTGATGAGGTCGAAGATGAGTGGTGTTCAGTCGATAGATGAACGTACAATAACGGAAGGTAGTAGTTCGCTTGACATGCAAAGGAATGAGCACATCAAAGGTTACTTTTAAATCTAATAATAATCTCGTACACGTAAATCTCGCTCACATATTCCCAACTATTATATGAAACGACTGATTCCATCGAGTTTAAACGCTCTTAAAAGGCGAACCAAAAGATGGTCAGTCCGTTTTAGGTGAATGATGTGCAAGAATTTGGAAATTGAGTTCATAAAAATTAGATGAGGCTTGAAAAAATGGTCCGTTCCAAATTTAATGAGAGAAAATTTAATTTCCAAATTTTTCCAAAAATAATTTCCAAAAAAATTTTTAATGAAGAATGTGTGAACTGGAAACAGAATTTTACAGTTAGTATGACGTCGATTTCAGAAATGAACATTGCGGAGCATAGACCAGCACAAGCGTTGACAGCATTCGAGAGTGCACGTGCCAGTTTTATGAGTGCCTCCGAGCGAGCGGCACGTTATTCTCTAGGCGGTGCTAACACTTCATCACTATCCGCGTACAACAGCGGTTACGAGAAACCAACGAACTATCAACACCACCATCAAAAGACGAATTCCGCAGATGACAATCATAATAATTCTGTTCTATTGCCCTCATCCTCCTCAACACCGTTCTATAACAACAACAACAACAGCAACGTCAATGATCCAACTAAAAAACCAACGACACCTCGAATTATAAGGCCAGCGCCTCCACCTCCACCACTAGCGCAAACAGGTTTGAAACTGAAACCACCCATTCCGGTACCAAGGAAGCCAGGTACATCCGGTGAAACTAACCAGGTTCGTTTCGTCGGTTTTTGATTCTTTGCTTCCGTTTTTTTTGCTGTTTCAGTTTTTGTTTATGAAATCTTCTGGTGTTTGTTTTTTGTTGAAGGTATTCTCAATCAATAGATGGTTAGGAAATTTCATTTTGGGCTGAGTTAAGTGGCATTTTTTCTATTTGTGTTATGAATGATTCTGGTAATTCGTCGATGGGTATTATGTATTGTTCCATATTGTTGCTATAAATACGAAAGTATGTTATCAGAGTGTTCATGATTATTGTTGTGAAGTGGTGTTTGAAGGTGAACATATCACTTCATCTTCTAGTATTCATTGGTCATTTGAAAAGATATTTATTCATAGTTGCTGATCATCTCTCATTTAAGAAAGAGTGCACTCGTCGTTGTAAAGCTTTATACGATTGTATCGCCGACAGCACCGATGAACTATCGTTCCGTCAGGGTGACATTATCATTGTGACGAAAGAGCGGATTGCTGGTGAATACGACACGTGGATGGTTGCTTTTTCTTTATTGTTGCTGTTGAGCTGATATGATTATGTTTTGGATTCATTTTCTGTCATTGAATGCAAATAGTATAATGTAAAATAAATGAATGAAAATGAAATCTTATTAAATTTCAGGAAGGGTATTTGGCGCGTGATCCTCAGC